GTTGGCGAACTGCAATCTGCTGTCCAAAGTGGTCTTGGCCGCACGCATGGCCGCCAGTCCGTCGTCGAACCACTCGGCGGAGTCATCGTTACTGGTCAACTGGAGGCCACGGATGATCTCCTGAATCTCATCAGACATTTGCACGACCAAAAAGTCGCGATTGGCTTGGGTCTCCGAGGCGCCGGGCAGGCCTGACGAGCACACGGGACAGGGAGGAGAAGAGAGCCGGTCGGTGCATGTGCAACGGACCGTGGCGCCAGACGCCACATGCGCCGAGATCAAGTCGTCCATGCGCATCAGATGAGCCGGATCGCGCGCGGCGCCGACACGCATAGCCGCCAGCGTGACGGCGTCGGTTAAGTTGAGCCGCGGCGAGAGAGGCACCGCGACCAGCGGAGCGGAACCGGTCGTCAAATCGTCGTCGTCGTCGCCATCGTCGTCGTACAGTGAGCCGGTGAGGGGTGTCGGCCGGCGGTAGAGGCGAGTCAGCAGGCCGGAGGTGTTCCAACGGTCAACGGAGGGGGGGAGCACGGGAGTTTCATAGATCCCAGAATCGTTGGTACCGGTGTTGGGAGTAGGCGAGACGGGATCCATGGCGTAGCAGAGCGGCCCGGACCAGCAGGGTTGAGCGGAGCGGCAGGTTTGAGGCCGGGTCGAGTGAGAGAAGAGCGCCCCGAAGCCGCCAGGCGGGAGGACGGGCATTCCGAGAAGAAAGAGAAGCAGAATGGCAAGAGAACAAGACAACTCGGATGAGACGAGGAAGAGCGAGAAGATGAGACAAGACAAAGTTCGAGTTCACCGACTGTTTCGCGTCGACAGGCACAGCCGGCACAAAGAAGAGCCGAATGATGCCGACCGAGGCTCAAGGGGAACCCCGTCGCTGGCGAATCGGGCACGGACGGAGTGACACAATAGCGACAGGTAATAGATCTCTTCTCGAAGCGCGACACACTTAATCCCGATTCAATTACATAAACCGGCCAGATTTGCGCCTACTTTTAAGGTACACATAA